AATATGCCTAGAGTATTAGATTATGAACATGCTTCATCATTATGAACCTTTTCATTATGAAACAGTTTCATGAAATTTGCCCCATATGAAACAATTTCATGAACTTTAGGAATGGAGTTCGCCTATGAACGTCCCATATGAAACAGTTTCATTATGAAACATTTTCATTATGAATGCTCCATTCAAATCAAGTTTTTAATATTATAATATATTAAAATTTTTAATATGTTAACATTCAAGAAATTTTCATTAATAAATTTCCTTATTTAATATTTATTAATAACTACCTTATTTATCATAAAAATATAGAAAATGATCAAAATACCCTTATTGATTAAATTTAATTAAAAAAGAATGGAATTTTTCTATTGGTCGAATTTGGTTTACACGGTTTCTTAGAATTGCATGGTTTTCATTTGAACCTGCCCCTATATATATATATATTCTACTTTCATAAATGAATTGCATTGACAATATTAAACAATTTAAATTATGTTATATACTAAAAACTAACAAATAAGACATTAAAAATGTAAAAAGAATCAAATATCGTGTTACAAAAAGTCAAAAACCGTTTATTAGGCATTCGTGGCACATGCTTAACGCGACGTCAAATACAAGAGTTGAGTCCCGATGTACCACGACAACTGTAGTGGCGAGTCTTTTAAAACACTAATTTTAGACAATAAATGATCTAGAAACTTGCTATATGAATGTGTTGAAACATTTAAAAATAGTATATATTATTATAATACAATACGATGAATTTTAATATTTGAGAGCTTTGTTTGTAAAATTAATCAAAAAGAAATTAATAACTTTACAATATGATCACTATATACTCACCTTATGACAAAATAAAGCAGTTGGTCGACACCCATTAAAAAATAGTATGTTCAAAATCGAATAATTTGTGCCTTTATCCATAATTTGATGATTTCCTTATGATGGGTAGAAGAAAAGTTATGATAACGTTATGTACAGTTAAAATATCAGTTTCAAAACCCATTGTTCTGCTTTAATATCTATGCATATTCTTGTTTTGTCGACCTCCGTTCTCTAATCGTTTTATGTATGTTTAACAAATATACATTTTTATTTCCATATCCAGGATAACCTTGCTATAATCCAACTCCGATGTACAAAATATTTACCATACAATTCTAAATTAAATAATTGATGTTAATATTTTATAAATATGAACAAGGGTGGTGTCTGATTGGTTTGAGTTTGGCTCCAAAGGTCAAAGGTACCAGGAGGTCTCAGGTTCAAATCCAATAAGAAATAAAAATCCCTTTGTGGCCACGGAGATTCAAATGCGGTGACTCCGGACTATCTGTAAAGCAGGTGGTCATCCTAGAATTAGTCGGTTCGCATAATGAGTTGGATATCCAGGTTAATAAAAAAAAATGAATTTATGACCAAGATCTTAGCTTTTCAAGTCATGTATTAATCAACGTCAAATATTATAATTAACTCGATACAAATCTTTATTCAACAAAATCTTATAAAACCGCTTGAATATAATATTACAATTATTTCACAAGTGGTCCTAACAACAAAGCAATAGTTCGATTGGAACTAAATTTGTGACTTTGTTTTTGTACGTCAACCAATTGACGTCAATATCCCAACTTGAACGGAAATAAAAACGATTGTCAACAAATTTAGGCTTACGAATTCTTTATATACCATTCATTCTTATATGGCCCATGTAACATACATACATTTTGGTAGTAATTATTTATGTTTTATTTGGTGAAAGGCATGATTCATATAATTTGGGAGTTGTAGCTATCAAATGGTCCTAATTCTATCCCCTAAACTCTTAAAATGTGCCATTTTCTTTTCCACATTTGTATGGTCCAAATCCACCTTACTTTTGGATCTCTATCCTTATCTTTAAAAGTCCAAAACATGCTCCATTTAATTATTTTTGTAAGAACATCCTTTTTTATTTTATCTATACTATATTATAAAGCATTTGATAAAAACTTTTAAAAATCATTTTTTTATATATAAAATACTGTTATTGATGCATATTGCTTAAAACTCAATATTACAAATAAATTGTGTATTAATACAACTTATTAAGACTTTATTTTTTAAATTAGTGTAACTAACTTTAGATAAATATAATCAAATAGAGGATAAATATTTCATTTTGAATATAAAAAACTAAAATGTAATTAGGATAATCATTGAGCTCTAACAAAATACTTAATTATTATCTTTATAGAAAATTATATTATTAAACCAAATTATAAAAAAAATTGAATTAAAGAAATTATAAAAAAACAAAAACTTTTAAATAGTTAATTTGATACTAATATTGATATATTTATTTTTAAAATTTTAAAAATAAAATATAAAATACTATTATCAATGACTGACATGATAGATATTTAATTATTAATTTATTTTTTGAAAATAATTATTAACACGTCAAGAATGTGACATAATTTTCAGATCATATGACGTATGATTATATAAGGTTATATGCATATTTATTTATGGTGCATAAAATATATTGTTATCTTGTTTTATATACTTCTCAAATGACAAAATCCAGAATTTGGGAATAACACATGGACGAAGCATGTAGTTTACTCTTAATCTTAAATATGCAACCTTTAATTATAAGGGTGGTGTTTGATTGGTTTGAACTTAGCTTTAAAGGTCAAAAGTACCAGATGGTCCTAGGTTCAAATCCAAGCAGAAATAAAAATCCCCTTGTGGCCACGGAAGTTCAAATGTGGTGACATTGGGATATCTGCAAAGCAGGTGGTCGTCCTATGATTAGTCGGCTCGCATAGCGGGTTGGATATCTAGGTTAATAAAAAAATATGCAACCTCTTTTAATTTCGTTGTTATCTAGAAATAACAATCAACTATTCCAAGGTTTAACAGTTTAAAGTTGAAATTCATGAATCTGAAACCAAGTGTTTTTTCTAGATGGACCATGCGAGACTATGTGAGAATACAAATTCATTACTTTCTTTGTTATGACAAAAGAGGAAAACGATGGCCGTTAAGATATTTGGGAGTTAAATAAACCAAATTTCTAGGGTTATCAGGTCAATGTTATGTTTGACAAACAAACTGATAAGGTAATTGTTAGTTGAAAAATTAGATGTTGGCTGATAAACTAAGATATTAGGTGATAAACTGGCTCTTGTTTAATAAACTAGTCATATTTGGAGGAAAAAAACGGACTGATAAATTAAATGACAATTTAAAGTGACCTAAAAGAAAAAGAAAAAAAAGGTATACAAATTTTCCTAAATATAAGGGATATAAAACATTATTTGAAATAAGTTTTTTGTTTAGCTTGAGATATCAAACAGAACACCTTCGATAAACTTAAAAAACAAGTTGAGTAATTTAAACATGACCTGAATCAAACAATTTTTGAGTCATAACGATTAAACCTTTCTTATTTGACTCTTTTTATGCCGTTCTCCTTTGTTTTTTCTGTTAGAAAAAACATTTAAAGATAAAGAAATGCATTATATATTACATAAATAATCCCTTCAAACCCTGCTCAACTAAGACTTTGTGATGTAATCATAATTTTTTTTATCTAATTGTCATTTTCATATATGTATTTTTTTATTATTTATCCACTAAGTCAATCTAGTTAATTTTTTATGTTTAGTTATGTTTTTTAATTTGAGAGAAAACATTTAAAGATAAACAACCTCCACCCTGCAAGAAAAAGAAGAAAAAGCGCACACCAAAAGCCTACCCACAAAAACATTGAATTTGAATCGCAATTTCCCATTTTCTTGTCACGGGGTACTTTATCAATCACGTGCATTTATTGTCTCGTGACATTTTTGATATGATTTTACAATTTTTGGATACAATAAATTGGTATTTATGATGTTTCATTTAATGAATTTATGATTGTTCTTTAGAAGAGATGATTTTTATAAAACAATTGTCAATTGAAATAGATGAGGATATATGTTAAAAAGTTAGGGGGTTGTTGTTATTTGCACCTCCATCTATTAAAAAAGTCAAAAAAGACCTACAAATAACATTAAATGGCTTAAAACTTTGAAGTAATATACTGATATGATACGTAAAAGAAATTGAAAAAACCATGAAGTTTCACAAGTGAAAAATGCTCATGCCAAACACAACATGAAGTCAAACACAACCATAGCTTTTTTTGTTATTTATGTAAAATATAAGATATATAATTATAAGAATATTTAAATAAACTAAATATAAGTTTATTTTTAATTGTTTTATACGGTTCTTACACAAAACCCATAAAATTAGATTTAAGTTTTGTTAGCTGATACATATAAAAGAAATTACTAAAAAGAACTTAATTTAGAAACTGTAGTTATAGCAAAGGATCAGATAATGAATCAAGACGAGATGTATAATGATTTTAAGGAATAAAGATGGATCAGTTTTTTTTATTATTTTAGAATAAGCCATAAAAATACGGGCTAAGCATTTCTCTTGACCTCGGCAGCCTTGATGATGTCCAAGAATTCAGCCTACGTATATAAACATTTTCAGCAACAAATACTTGTATCATATGTAGAATTTTTTTTTTAATTTTTAACCTGGATATCTAACCCGCTATGCGAGCCGACTAATCCCAGGACGACCACCTGCTTTGCAGATAGTCCGGAGTCACCGTATTTGAACCTCCGTGGCCACAAGGGAATTTTTATTCCTCCTTGGATTTGAACCTGGGACCTCCCGGTATTTTTGACCTTTGGAGTCAAACTCAAACCAATCAGCACCAGGCTTGTGATTATACGTAGAATTGTATTGTACAGTGAGTGGGTGATAATTAATTACTTAATAATAATTACCTTGAGAGAAGCCCCACCAACTAAGAAACCATCAACATCAGGCTGTGCACCCAACTCCTTGCAGTTCCCACCATTCACCGAACCTAATTACATTTCCAACCAAATGTTTCATGCTATTTTTTACATAAATAAAATGAATATCTCATTTATTTTATATAAGAAAAAAAAAATTAAATATAGAATTGTTTCTTTATTTCTTGATAGATGTGTGTGATGGCATGTTAAAGAAGTTTTTGAATGATACCTCCATAGATTATCCGTGTAGTAGATGCAACTTCAGCGCTGATATTCTTTTGAAGCCAATTCCTCAATTCTAAATGAACCTGTCGATTCACAAAGGTTCAATAAACAAATTCTGCCTAACTCAAACCCATTAAACAGATATTCTAGAGGCTATAAAGCACACTTCTAGATAGAGATGGACAAGGACCGGGCTCTTTCAAGCCGGTTTTAGTGAGCAAAACAAAAGGCTCGGGCTTTTTTAGGCCAGGCGGGGTTTTGGGTTGAAGAAAAAGCCGATCACACTTTTTTAAGGCCAAGCTTTTTTAGGCTGGCCTTTCTCGGGTCGGGATGGGCCTGGGCCTGCTCCTGAAATTTCAGCTTGATCAAGCTTTGAGGCCTACCTAGACCGGGCTTCAGGCTCTAGGCCTGGGATTCTTTTGGCTGGCACGAGCCAGGCCTTGGCTTTTTTGTGCATCTCTACTTCTAGATTATACTCAGAATCAGGATCACAATGAACCACGGGTTAATAGTTTTACAACAGCAAAAAACGGATGACGTGATGAAGGCAAAAGTAAAGAATGAGTGCTCTGAGTAATGCAAATGAGATTATATTAGAAGGTAGAAAAACACCTAAGGGTTGGCCTAATGGTCAATCATGGGCTTGTCTCATGAAGCTTTCAACTCCTTTAGGGTATGTTCGATATTCACAGAATAGATTGAACTCATGAACAAGAGTGAGGCAGGCAGATGAAAGTATTTGGAAGTTTTAAAGGTTTCAATTTGACATGTTTAGTAAGTTATTAAGTTTCTCCCATCTTCCTTGTTCCACCTATTTTGGTGGGACACAAAAAATGGATTTTCGTTCCACTCAATCATGTATCGCAGTCTAATTGTCGCACCGAATGTGTAATAACAAGTTTTTGTTCTGTCTTGTCCTATATTGTCCCACGTAACAAACGTACCCTAAGGACCAACAGGTGGTTGAAGGTCTGAAGTTTTCCTAGACCATGTGGAGGTGGAATTTTGCATGATCCCATGGATTTAATGGGCCAAAGTTATGGTTACCAAAAACATTAGAATGTATAAATGAAAACAAAGTATCCAACTTACTTCTTGGGCCTGAGCAGGAGTAGCAACCTTTCCTGTTCCAATAGCCCAAACAGGCTCATATGCCAAAACTACATCACTCCACTTTGATATTTTATCTAAAATCACACCAAATTTTGAATGTTAAAACACACACTCTCCTTTGAGATCACATCTGTCAAAGAAATTGGAATCTGAAAGGAATTTGAATGGAATGTGTGGTGTACCTGCGATTGCTTTGGTTTGTGCAGCAACAACTTCAATGGTAGATCCTGATTCTCGCTGCTCAAGAGACTCGCCAACACAAGCGATTACCTTTAGACCTTGGGAAAGAGCATAAGCAATCTTGTCTCCAACAAACTGGATGCAATACGACCACCAAATGGACAAAAATCATAAGCATTTCGTTCAGAATGGCCAATGATGGCGATCGAGTAACAAATGTGTATATGCATTACCTCGTTTGATTCATTAAAAAGAGCTCTTCGTTCAGAATGGCCAATGATAACCCAAGGAATACGCAGGTTCGCAAGCATTTCTGCACTGATCTCACCGGTGAATGCGCCTCCTTTCTTAACCCAACAATTTTGGGCTGCAACATGAAAATCAGACCTCAATGTAGTTCTAACAGATGGAAGAAACAAGAATGGGGGGCTCACTACAACCTCTGCAACAGTATCAAACATATGATTACAACCCATACCCAAAACAAGCATCAAACATATATGATTATATATCTTATAAAATGATTGGTTCTTGTATATATATGGGATCATTTTTAATAAACCAAAATTCCATACCCACAACATCTCCAGATGGAACTTGACCAGCATTAAGAAGTGACAAAAGGATCTTGATCTCTTCTGAGGTTCCATTCTGCATACAAAAATTCAACACACCAATGAATTAGACTATGGATGTCACAAGCATGCTCAAGGTTCATCCACAAAGCACCTACTCATATCCAAACTTCAAGTCCCAAAAGCCCACAAAAACTTGATGTCCGAAACCGATTAGGGTTTTAGAGCATGATATCTGTTGTTCATTGGGGTAAGTTCAGTTCGAGTCTTTTGGATAAATGACCTTAAAATGAGTTTTCATAGCCCGTTTACATCTAACATAGTTTGAATTTAAACACTTCCCAGATAGGGAAAGCTGTGAGTTCTTCACAAACTTAATACCATCATAAATGCCTTGATCAAAATTTCAAACTAAAATCACCCATAAAATTAATTAAAATAGTAAATTAGGCCCAAATTAACCAACGCGAGTTCGATAACATCAAAAAGAAAATTTGCAGGGACTTCCATTCATATACAAAGAAACTTAAATGAAGAATTCAAATCCATCATCCACTCAATGAAGGGGCATATAAATTACCTCAATGACACGTCGTTCGTTGTACATGAACAATTGAAATCGAATGATAACATGGGCTTCAAGGATCGATTCGTAAACAACGAACCAACAGGTCGTATGATAAGATGAAATTAAATAAGGCATAAGATTAAAATCAGTGAGGAGTAAATTAATACTTACACATTTCCAGTTACCGCCGACGAAAAACTTCCTTCCCATTTGTGTATTGTGTATTTAGAATTTGTTTCGTTTCGATATTACTGTCCAATCAAGAGGAGATTGTAAACTCCTGTGTGGCTGCCGGTGCCGGTGCCGGTGTTGCCATTTCGCCTTTTATATTGCTGGTCATGTGGCACGTCTACCGGATCAGCTTTTTCTCCGGCGTCTTGCAAAATAGAGTAAACACTACTATTTTAGTCCCCATAGTTTGTTAAAAAGTGCGACTTTAGTCCCTATTGTTTGCATTTTATTGTTGTTTTCGCCCTTGATATTAACTTCACCGGTGGTTTACAGTTAAGGATGAGGAACGAATGCAATAACAAATCATAAACCACAACAACAAAAAATGATAAACACAGAAATGGTGTTTTTTTTAACAACCGGACGTTAATTTACTCCAAAATAAATTCTCTCATGTACTAAATTACTAGATAAATACTTAAATATATTTGTTAGTGGAAAATCTTTAGTGAAATTTGTTCGTTAATATTACGAACTCATGTATTTGGTGTATCAAATCGTGCACATTTCTAAAGGGTTACTTCCAAGGTATGGATCTCTACTCTTGCTTTATTTACTACTAGTTGTGTACCGCGCAATGTGGCGGGAGTCATGAATTTTAACGATTTTAAAGTTCTACTGGTTTTATAAGATAAGATTTAACGATGATATAGGTTGCACTTGGTCTTTACATATTAATACAATTTGAATAAATAAGAGTTATAGTTCCAATTACAGACTATCGATGAAAAAAATTGTATGACAGTTTAAAATCCAACATATTTAAACGACTCCACAAATGTATTCAATTTACACCAAGAGCAAAGAACCAAGAAACTTGAGTTTTAAGATAAGCACTCAAAACCAATAAATAAAACTACAAATTTGACAGATCATAAGCCATGAAAAGACAAAAAAAGATGAGTTTTAGAATGAAATTTCAACTGCTTACCCTCTTTCTTGTCCAGAAACTCATATTAAGGTTAAATTAATACATGTATATATATATATTTCAAAAAAAACCCAAGAACATATTAATTCAAAACATATTATACAGTGCAATTTGGATAGCCTAACCCCAAAACATATAGTATATATATAAATAAATAACTATAAAAGTATAAATCGTAAATATTAAAAATATTTTTTCACAATATATATAATATATAATAATATAATTAAGTCAAAATCTATTCAATATTAGACTCATTTCGAAGGTATTTAACAACACGATCATAATAGTGTAACTTGTTAAAATAAAAATGTATTTTTTAAACATGTTTTAATTGATATACGATTATGTATGTTAATTTGATAAAGATTTAAAATGAAACATTTAAAAGTAAAGGACGTAAAGTAAATTAATTAATTAATTATAGAGGTATAAAGTGTAAATTTAAAATTATAATTTTAAAAAAAGTTGTGAGAGGGTGAGTGTATGTGAGGGGGTGATTGTATGTGAGGATAGGAGGGGGTGAAAAAGTGAGTATAAATGGTATTTTGGTCATTTAGTATTTTAAGACTTTAAGATTTTTGCTAAATTTGCTCAATAAGATAGTATAGATAATCTATGTGCGCTAATTGGAATTTTGATTTGCATTATTTAATTGTTGTTGGGACAAGTGACGGATGTCGAATCCATCGAATAATAATTAACTAACTACACCTTCGTTAATAATTAAAATTTCAACAATGGTAAGTCAAGTCGAATTCACAAAGACTCATTTTAATAATCAATGTCGTCAATTCAAGCACAAATACGGTTAATTAAAATTAAATTTGCAAGGGGGGTTTGGATTAATTAGTAACTAAACATACGATTCTAAAGATTATAAAAATGCAAGAAATTAAGAGTGTAACGATAGTCTACTTTGATAAAGATGCAAACACGCATCATTGATCCCACTGTAACTATATGAAATAAGTTTAAATTGGTGATACTTGCCAACAAGCTCTGTTCTTAACTAAACAGTGATTGAAGTAAAGGTCTTTAACTAAATCTTAATCAGAGATAAGATTTAAACAAGCTCTCAAACTCGTAGGTGCAATTCGCTTTTATCGGGTGAGAAAACATTAGTTCAAAGCGATATGCTCGTAAGCTCGGCTTGAATGACTTTGATTGCAAGATTTCAAGAGCACATTTCGAAAACATTACTAAAATCAAGTGGATTCGCATTGTTACTTTATCAAAATCACTAGACAATTACATATCTAGGTTTTTTACTAAAAGACATTTACAAGAACATCAAATAATTGGTCAAATCAAGCAATGTTGAAGTAAAATTAACATTAAACATGGAAATCAACAAATAAACTTGTCCCAAACGATTACAATGGAATCTCAAAGTAAATGCATCAAAATCAAAAGATTAACTATTGTTGGAATGAACGAAATTAGCCACACATGGCAACTAGGGTTTACAACTTAAATCAACGAGAAATTACCAAAATGGAGTAAATCGCTCCCTTCGTGCATCTCTAAATCTAATGATCTATGTTCGAAACCTCTTCAAATGACGATTTTCAACTCAATTTATACCTAGAAAAAAAAAGCTGCTCAATATTCAAAAATTGGGAAAACTTGTCCATGCAGGTACCTTATGCGACCTGGTACGTGACCCTTGCATGATAGGGGTAGCATTTTGTGTACCGTAAGTCCATATAGTACATGCAACTCTTGCATGACAGGGTAGCATTTAGTGGACAGTAAGTCCACATATATATTATGCGACCTTTGCATGTGACCCTTGGATGACAGAGTAGCATTTTCCTTTGTTATGCCTTTCTTTGACCACTTATTCCATAGAAACCTCTTAAGCATGCCAACCATTTTTCTCACCCGTTTCTTGCCCTTGATCAAACATAGGACTTAGATTTGGCTTATGAAACATAATTTAGGCATATTAAAATATAAAAATGGGGATTTTTGAGCTTATAAACACACACTAAAACACAAAATTCGATGCTATCAACGAGTTTGAAGTTTTTTTTTAATTCCGTCAAAATGAAACAATAAGCTTTTATTTTCTTAAAATATTTAATTTTTTTTACGACGCTAGTGTTTCTAAAATCAAAGTTTGTGGCTCTGATTTGATGGGTTTTGTGTTTTATCTGGCGTTTTGCTATGGATTCTATTATGTTCTATATATATATATATATATATATATATATATATATATATATATATATAAGTCTTATTTGTAATATGTAGTCTCTCAATATGCCGTTTTTATGTATTTCTTTCGGATCATTAACAAGTCGGTTTCTTTTGTGTTTTCTCTAATATTTTGATTGGATTTTATATCGGTTCATATATATTCACTCAAAACATGAGGAATCTAGTGAAATTACGAGCAGACTTGATATATAAAACGTTTGAACTTAAGTAGTAGTAAACAAGCATTTAGTGTCTTTTAATGTAGCAAGTGTGTCATCCACCAAGCTGCAAAAACGGGAGCAACTCCTACTCAAGTTGGATGAGGTTGTGATTCAGCAAGGGCACAACTCATACGGTTAATGTGCGGCTGTAATATCGCTTTCCTATTTTATGGATATGCCATTCGTTTCAATTATCGTAAACCCCACATCCAACTCAATTTTAATCTGAACTGTAATGGGTTGAGTTATACAATTTCATTGTACCGTATTACAATTTTCAAGTTGAAATGGTTGAGTTAGGTTATTAAATGTTTCAAACCCGTCCACCCATGTCCACCCCGAACGACAACAACAATGGCTTATGATCAAGTCGTAGGCACAGGTAGGCTGGACCTAAGGTTCACATGTTACTAGAATTTGGATGGGTTCGGGAAAGGACGGGCTAGGCGTATGTTCAGGGCACACAAGAAATAGGGATCCAAATTTTTTTTAGTGAAATGGTAGTTGTTACAAAAAATAGTAAATAAAGAGACAACTTTTTTTAAATTTATAATAGGGCCAACAAAGAATTTTGTATTATATTAAGGGCGTAAGCATGTAATAATTTATTATATTTAAGAAGGAAATATGTAAAAGTTAATTCGTCATTCATTTTTTAATTATTTAATATCAAGTCATTCTTCTCTCACCCACTCTTTTATTTATTTCATCCGTATGAGTTCTATTTTTATATTAGAATAAATTATGAACATTATATTATGAGTTATTACAAAATTGTCATTCATTGATCTACAAAATGAATGGTTGTGATAAGTTCTACCCCTATAGAGAGAGAGAGAGAGAGAGAGAGAGAGAGATGATGAGCAATCAAATGCAAATCACTCATATTTGTACAAACCGTGCAAAACACTTTCATCCGTTAATTTCATTGTTTAATCTTATGAAATTTTTTAACCATTATTGTAAATTGTGTCTAGAGCTCTTTAGACTTCAGACACGAATTAATTAACCAAAGAATAATCAATTGCATCCTAAATTAGTAGGATTGATTGAATAAAATGACACATGTCAATCAAATGAATATAATTGAATTGTTAATGTAAATTGTGTCTAGATATGTTCAAATGAGTCTAATTGAACCATTAATGTAAATTATGTTTAGATACGTTCAAATGAGTCTAATTGAACCATTAATATAAATTGTGTCTAGATACATATTTAGGAGAGAAAATAAGATGATCGACTCCCCAAAAGATGACACATGTCACTCAAGTTACTTATTTATTAGGGGGGTGTGTGTGTGTGTGTATATATATATATATATATATATATATATATANTATATATATATATATATATATATATAGAGAGAGAGAGAGAGAGAGAGAGAGAGCTTGGTTCAAATGTTAACCCAAACTATTGTGTTAACTTTGTTAACCATTTTCAACCAATTACAATACATCTTAGTATTAGGTTCATATACATTTTAGAATTTAATGACAATGGTACATATGTAATTTTCTTTTTTATGTAACTCTAATATCATTAATTGGGAGTTACAAAATCATAAAATCTCATGCTTTGTGTTAACTTATTATTAATTTTGTTATTTTTTTTAATATTGATTTTTTTATCTTTAATGTTTATGAATTTGTGATTGGTGGAGAAGACCTGGTAGTAAAGTTTTCGGTATCGTTCAAATTGATATATATGAAAGATGATGAACAGGTGTAACCATATGAACACAAATTCACATATGAAAACATTCGTACAACCATATAAACACAACTCGACATATATGAACCAATGTATCAATTATGAACACAAATTGACATATATGAACACTTGTGTCGATTACGAAAACAGATTGACATATATGTACAGTTGGTATAAATATGAACACATATTGACCCAAATGAACATACGAAAGATGATGAACATGTGTGACCAGATGAACACAAATTCACATATATGTACATTCGTACAACCATATGGACACAACTGGACATATATGAACCCTTATTGACATATATGAACCTTTATGTCAATTACGAACACAAATGAACATACGAAAGATGATGAACATGCGTGACCATATGAACACAAATTCACATATATGAACATTCGTACAACCATATGAACACAACTCGACATATATGAACCTTTGTGTCAATTACGAACACAAATTGACATATGTGAACCCTTGTACCAAATACAAACACAGATTGACATATATGCACATTTGTGTCGTTTACGACTTTTTTCTATATACACCTCTGTTCACACATGAACAATTCTCATAAATATCGAATATTTGTTCACATATGAACCATTAACAAAAAAATTGTAGAAGAATCTGGTGTCGAGGATTTTGTTGTTAGTTTTGATTTGATGACGAGATTAATTCACATATAGTTGCATTATTATTAATGGACAGTTACAAAACATGTCATTGTCATTAATGAGCGATTACAAAATATCTCATTGTCATTAATGGACAACTAAAATATTTTTCCAAAATACCCATTGTAAATATTGTTCACTTATGTTACCTTGTCTATGTGTGCAATTAATTACACTTTATGTCATGAATGATAGCCACAAATTTCAAAGATTAATGACTAAGATTGGTTAACAAAGTTAACACAATAAACTTGGTTAACATTTGAACCAACCTATATATATATATATATATATATATATATATATATAGAGAGAGAGAGAGAGAGAGAGAGAGAGAGAAGAAGAAGAACAATCAAATGCAAACCACCCAATTTGTACAAATCGTGCAAACCACCCTCATCCATCCATTTCATTGTTTAATCTTATGAATTTTTTTCATGAAATTGTTTAATCTTGTGAAACTGTTTCATATAATATTTTTTTGATGAAGTTGTTTAATATATGGTTATGAAATTGTTTCATATAATACTTAATGAAATTTTCATAAAATTGTTTCATATATTTCTCTAAAATTGAAATAATATCAATGATTAACAATCTCCACAATAAAAATGATTAATCAACATCTCATAATTACAAAAAAATGAACAAAATGAAAAATTATGATTGGTTGAATGAGGTTTGTACGGTTTGTACAAATAATGTGGTTTGCAAAGTAAATCTCCTCAATGTGTGTGTGTGTGTGTATTAAAGGTCAAAAGATTGGGCTCTTGGGATCTCTCGACCTAACATGAAATTTAAGTTACCTTCACAGAAGCTTGTGTTAGTAGCACCTGCACCACGACCAAAGTCATGTGTAAAGTCACCTAACTCTCTGGAATTTTGTTCCGAAAATAATGACTTACATTGCATGTCACGTTGCGTAACTCTTTGTTTGTACCTGGCAGCCATGTCGGTTGAAGAGGCAAACCTATGTATATGTATTTTCGTTCCTTGGCAAAAAGACTATAAAAATATATGGTTTCTCTCATATTTTTTCACCAAAATCTAAAACCAAACATTCCTTAATTTGCTAGATTGAATCTGGTTATTGTATCCCCTACGCAAACGCAAATATCATCGAGAAATTTTAATCTTAAAACATTGCCACTTTTTAAACCGTTTTGTCTACATCTTTTTTTAACTCTTTCATCCACTTTAAATAAGAAATAATTTTAAATCGATATAAATAATTAAATAAATAAAAGTTGTGGGGGATGAAATGTGATGTAAAAAACAGGACAACTTTACGCGCTTTCGGATTCCAAACGAACGATTCTTTCTGTCCAACAGGAACATGTTTTTACACCACCACCATCATGTCGCTCCATGCTAATGTGCGCACTAGGCCCCCCTTTCACACCACCTTCCTTTTTTATTCTTTTCGACACTCGAAAACACCCTTACAAAATTACTCCATTTCTCCCATTTTCACCTCACAATAACCCCAACACATGGAGCTTTCAAAAATCCCTCTCTTCTTCTTCTTTTTCCTCCTCCGCCTCCTCTCCGCCGTACACTCCATCGGCGTCAACTACGGCACCCTCGGCGACAACCTCCCACCTCCTTCTCAAGTCGCTCAGTTTCTCAAATCTAGCACAGTCATCGACCGCATCAAAATCTTTGATGTTAATCCCGATATCATCAAAGCCTTTGCCAACACCGGCATCCTTGTCAGCGTCACCGTCCCCAACGGCGACATCCCGTCGCTCACCAACCCTCGTAACGCTCTCCGGTGGGTTGATGCCAATATCAAGCCGTATTACCCAGCTACCAAATTCCATTACATCTGTGTCGGCACCGAGGTGCTCCACTGGGGTCCTCAGAACCTCGTAGACAACCTCGTCCCGGCAATGAGGGTGCTTCACGCGGCGCTCATTAAATCTGGAATTAACGACGTTAAGATTTCAAGCCCACACTCACTTGGAATCCTTCTGGAATCCAACCCACCCAGTAACGCGTCGTTTAGACCCGGATGGGATGTGGGTAATCTCGCCCCTATGCTTCAGTTTTTGAGGAAAACTAAATCCGGATTCATGGTTAACCCGTATACATACTTCGGGTATTCTCCGGCGAATGCTGACTATTGTCTCTTCAAGCCCAACGCCGGATTGTTCGATAAAGCCACTGGAAAAAGGTACCGTTGTTATCATCTCACAGCTAATACTTTCTGTTTCTTTAATTGTAATTTAATTAATCGATTTTATGTTCTTGATTGATGAAATCAAAAGGTACACCAACCAGTTTGATCAACTGATGGATGCGGTGTACGTTTCGATGAAGAAGCTGGGCTACCCAGATGTGGAAATCATCGTGGCGGAGACAGGTTGGCCGTCGGGGGGAGACCCACAAAACACACACGCAAATCCTGCGAATGCGGCAGCGTACAACGCCGGTTTGATTAAAAAAGTTAGTTCCGGCGTCGGAACGCCATTAATGCCGGGAAGAAAGTTCGAGACCTACATATTTTCACTGTTCAATGAGAATCTGAAAGGACCATCATTGGATGAGAAGAATTTCGGGCTCTTCCGACCGGATTTCACTCAAGTTTACAACATCGGGATCTTTCGTGGATCACAGGTAATTACTTTACCAAATTGAAGTCCAATTTTTCGTCCAACTTGATTGCACATGTCGATGTTTCATCGGAATTGGAGTTTACGTGGCACATAGGAACCGGTGTAGAAGTGGATGCCGACGTCGTATTTGGTAGGTAGTCTAGTCTCGCAAGGATCTTGACAATTCTGACGTCTATTTTGACTTTTTATGTCAAAATTAATCAATTTGGGATAATTTTGACGAGTAAAAACACAAACATGAGTTGTTTTCATCTTTAAACAACATTAGAAAAATTGGAGTTTAAAATGTTGACATCTATAGATGGCTTTTTAGGACATATATTAATATTTTATTTAACTTTTTTAATTATATATAAATTAATAATTTAATACATTAATAAAATAGTATAACAATAAATACATCCATTATTTTATTATTAAAAAAATATTTTTTATATTTTAGTTTAATGTTTAATATAATTCTTTATAACTTTAGTAGAACACGTTTTACAGGGTGAATGGTACAGATATGATGATCCTGGTTGCCATCCATTAAAGACAAATATGACCGTTCGAATTATTGTTTTATGGTGACTTTGCACAAACGGCACCAACGTTAACCATGTGACGCCACCTTCATTTCTTTGCATCTTTAACGTTAGAATCACTCAAGTTTTAGGTTATATTTTAAAAAGTTAGTTGGTAGCTAAAAAAAACTATTTGTTAGCACTTAGTCGATGAACTAGTTGATAAAATAATCATGTTTAGTAAAAACTGGCTGATAAGCTTAGGATACGGTATAAAACGACCTAATGGTTCTAATGATCATTTTTTTGGGCCAATCGTCTCTTGCTCAGGCTCCTGCTCCTTCTCCGTCCCCGTCCCCGTCCCCAATGGTTGCTCCCTCCAATGCACCAACGGCCTTCATTCGTCCTCCGGGTAACCGGGACACCACCAACGGTCGTGCTTCATCTCCAAGCTCCGCTTGCTCGAACGCGCCTTTTATCGTCAAATCCGCCGCTGTTGTTGCCCTTTTCATGGCTTTCTTCTCATAGATCTTGATTTACTACATTTTCAAGGTTGAGAAAGACGGTTTAGAATAAAAATAGTTGTATGCTTGTAAATAGGAAACATAAGGGAAGGACCAAAAATTAATTATAAGAATAAACATGATTTGTTTTGCTTTGTTCATCTTGCATTACATACATGTACCTTCTGCATCAAATGTTGTACATGTGGCTCATATGTAATACTTTTTGATCTGGGTGCTACAGCACGCGCCAACAGGTTCGACACCAAAACCAGCACCAGCAGCACCGGTGGCGGCTCAGGGCAAGAAATGGTGTGTCCCTAAACCAGATGCCACCAATGCCGCACTCCAGTCGAACATAGACTACGTCTGCAGCAGCGGGGCCGATTGCCACCCGATCCAGGCTGGCGGGGCCTGTTTTGAACCCAACAATGTGCGGGCCCATGCAGCGTTCGTCATGAATTCTTTCTATCAGACCAATGGCCGGAACGATTTTAACTGTGATTTCGCTCACACGGGAGCCATCACCAACATCGATCCAAGTAAGTCTTGTTCATTCATTTATGTATACATGACATGTGATGTGGTCCAAGTCCAAGCTCACAAAATGGTTTGGTTAGAGAACTCTACATGTGGGTTGGGCTGACCTTAAACTAATGAGGTTAATTGTGATGTTGTTTTAAGCCCAACTAATTGAAGGATGAGTTGGGCTTTTTAAGAAGCCCATTATGGTGATTAACCGAATTGTGATTTATTTTGTAAATAGGTAAGGGTTCGTGTAAATATGGATCTTAAGCTAAAAATGAAGATGGAGAGCCAGGGAAAAGGAAGGCATGTTTTAGTTAAGATTGTGATTGATTATTCTTTTGTTGTAACATTTAAACTTGGCATGTCTAATATATGGTATGGCTCTAAATGTTTCACTTTTGCTAATACCTAATTTAATTGGGGCCCTCTTCTATTTGAATATTACTATAAACCATTCAAAATAATATCAGTCATTCATCTAATATAAACGAATAAGATAATTTAAATAAGTAACTATAAAAGTATAAAATATAATTTTAAAATAAAAAATGATTAGCGTTGATCGATGTTGGATGGTTTGTGTGTATGTGAGGGAGAGAGAGAAGCTGAGTAGGACATGGTATGAATATTTATAGAAAGATATGTTTAGTAATCGTGTTATTTCTCTTTTTCTTTTTTGTATTTTAACACGCCATTCAAAATAGCTGTAGGAAAGAAAAATTCTTAAAATTTTCTATTTTTACATGATCGTTGGAGATGTCTTTGTTAGCAAAAAGTATAGTTCACTTAGGGGCTGTTTGGTTTGTTTGCTGTTAAGACATGTATGAATATAACTGTCTGTATTGATATAGTTATATGTATATTAACAGATAAGTTGATGTTCAGTTGTTGTGCTGAATAAACAGTCTGAATATCAGAAATAACTATTTTATCCTCAATCTATATTAAACATTATTAAAGCATTTGTTTTTCTCCCTCCTCACAGTTTCCCAATCCAAACCCATCACTCTTAAATTCTTCAACATCTCTTCCACTTCTACTTGTAAACACAATCGCATCCACCACTCCCATCCCTTTGAAACCAACAGCGTCGCCGCACACATCGCTCCCATCCATGGTGTCTCGTAGGCGTTCACCCTCACCGCCACCCATCCCTTTGAAACCAAATCTCGTAAGAAATCAGGGACGACTCGTGGTTCTTCCAACCCCACCACCAATGGCACCGGACATAGCACTTTCCGCCCACGTCCCAACCCCAGCGCCCTCGCCAGACTCGTCGGAGTTGCGATTTCAGGAACCAAAAGCTTGATTCTCCGACTGTTGTCACAGATTCTACCGATAAACGAGTTATCGATGAGATCGACGTCTTTTCCGAGAGCTGAAATTGTGAAGGATTCACCGGAAGGCATTGGAGAAAAAGATGATTTGGTTTGGGTGGTGGGTTCGACGGTGATGGTGGGGCACCAGAGTGGGGTCCAACCCTTGATTGTGAAGATGCAGCGTATGCGTTCCAATCAGCAAGAAGAGAAGGTGAAAGGGGAGAAGAAGATGAAATAAGGGGAAGGGTAAAAAGGGAATAAATGGATCAATAAATGGCTGAATGGATATGACTCTATTTTTGTAGCTGGGCGATTCAGCCATGGGCTAACCGAATAAGCCTATACCGAACAGTTAGATATGGCTGTGCGAATAAGTCATATAGCTTATACAGCCCATTAAGCTGCAATTGAACAACCCCTTACTTTTAAGTTTAATAATTAGTACACATATTAATATTTAATATATAAATTGATATTTTCTATTAAGTTTAATCATTCATTTATTATGTGTTTTTAATTGTAAATAAACTAAAAAACAACATAAACAAAAAAGAGAATACTTTGTAACAATTTTAATTAATGAAGTTTAGAGATACATATATAAAACATATTTAACAAAATAAAATTTCATTAACATGTACTTAAAAGTACATAATATTGGCTATTTAATGTAATATTTATAGATTAAAAGATTTCTTTAAATTAAAATAAATTATGTAAAGGATTAAATAAATAATTATATTTATTGAGTTTATTAATAAATATGTTTTTTAAGTAGATGGAGTTTTTTTTTTTTTTTTGGTTTTCAATAAACAACCCATCATTTTTAGTGTTATTTAATAGTTGAGTTGGAGACGATATCATAGAGGGTAGATTGTATATGAAAATATTTATTTTTATCCGATAAATGTTTACCATCTTAAATTTTATATTTTTAATTCAAGATTTGATGTAATAACCTGTTCCATAAGTTAATTAAAGATGCTTTTATAGAGGGGGAAATCATTATCAAGGGTTGGTCTACTTCACTTTCAACTGTCACAAAAGGAAAAGGAAAATGAAACATGAAATCTGCCATATGGGCCCACACCTATTCAGGTCAGGATAGCATGCCTACTTTTTTTTTTTTTTTTTTTTCTCTGAACTGCTTATAAAAACAATTTATTGATTTATTTTAATATGTCATCGATGATAAACATTTTCGAATGTTTAGAAAAATAATTTATACCGGTGTCAAACCGGTAATAAGAAGTTTTTTAAGAAGTTAAACTCTTCTGACTTATAATAAATTGATAAATATTTTTGTAAAAAAACATAAATTGTTTCAAATAAACAATCCCAAACACTCCATATTTTTATTTTTTCTATATGAAAATTCATTATTCCTCTCTCTATATTTATTGTGTTTACATTTTAGTTGTATGCTGATGTTTTAATACATATTTTGCAACCACTCGACCCTTTTGACCGCTAACATCACAGAAAGACCTCTATTGGTCTGTTATCATAAATCCACCTACATTTTTCACCATCTATTCCGCCACCCACAAACCACCGTCCACCGCCATCATGGACCAAAAAGAACACCACAAAAACAAGAAAAAGAAGCAAAAACACAACCACCAAACCTCAGATTTCTCTTTCAAACCCTCCTCTCATGTCAAAGGTCTTCGTTTCGGCGGTCAATTATTAGTTAAATCCTTCACCGTCCGCCGTGCCAGACCCCTCGAACTCCTCCGCCTCCTGTCTCTTCCGCCACTCGCCACCCACCACAAACCCTCACCTGGATTCCATTCCACCACCGCTTTCCTCCCCACAAACTTCACCATCTTAGCGCACCATGCTTGGCACACGCTCACCCTCGGCCTCGGCACCAAGAAGTCCAAGGTGGCTCTGTTCGTTTTCGAATCGGAAAACATGAAGGTGGCGGTGGACCGGATTTGGCCGGCGGAGATGCCGTTGGGAGAAGTGAACCGGAAGCTGATCAGGGGTCTGACCGGTTGCGAAATGGCCCGGTTCAAGTTCAGGAAAGGGTGCATAACCTTTTATGTGTATGCAGTTAGAAGGATTGGGAGCTTAGGGTTCTCTTGTGGCGATGATCTGAGGGTAATTTTGGAAATTGTGGTGGCTTTGAACGATTTCTTGGATCATACTGCAATGCTTGCCATGCCTAACCAGAGAAGCATTAATTTTGCTACCCCTGTTGCCATGGCTCACTAGGCATGCAAAATTACCATTTTACCCTTGTGGTTCTTCATTTTATTTTTAATTTTGGAAATACTTTCTTGTGTTTTTGTAACTTTGTGATTAATTTTTGTGGGAAATCTTATATATTTGCATTTAATAAATTAGGATAAAATGAATATGAGTTTGACATGTGAAACATATATCTTGGGATTTGATGAAATGATAGAAAAATGAATTATTTTATATATTTTATAGTTATATAAATAAATGATGAAAATTAATTAAATTCACCGTCAAAAATGATAGTTTAAAATTTATGGAGTATTATCTTATATTAATAGAGCGTAACGTTTATAAAGTATTTGAACGTATTATTTTAATAAACTTCCAAAATGAAGTTTTAAAATTTTATAAGAATGCAAGTATTAATAAGTTGTAGATTTTAATTTTAAAAGATTTAAAAACATATACGTAGATGATTTATAATACAGTTAATACAATTTAGAAACTTAAATATTTGTATTGATTGTAATCGGCTTTGACTTAAAAAAACAATTAGGAAATTCTCTGATCTTAATAGCTTTTTAGAGCATCTTCAATAATTATACTAAAACGAGAAAAAAAAAAAGATTTTAGCATTTTTGTTGCTTTAACAACTATTGTAACCTTTATGTTAAAAATCTCTAAGATTTTAAAAATCTCTAAATTTTAAAAAAAAAATCTCTATAACTATATGGAGGAGAGAAAAATAATATTTTTTAATTATAAGAACTAATTAAAATTCCTATTTTTTGTGTAATTTTCTAATTCAAATTTTTATTATAAATTTAATTTAGGTTCAATAACGAAGTAACTTATATTTGATTTAATAATATAATTTTTTTATAAAGATAATAATTAATTATTTTATTAGAACTCGATAACTGTCTTAATTATATTTTAGATTTTTTATATTTTAAAATGAGATGTTTATTTTCTATTTGATTATGTTTATCTGCAGTTAGTTACGCGAATTCAAACATGAAGCTTTAATAAGTTGTATTTATGCTTAATTTATTTATAATATTGAATTTTAAGTAATATGCATTGATATACAACACTTCATACATAAAAAAATATTTTTAATTTTTTTTGTTAAATGCTTTATAATATATTATAAATAGTTAATGATTACTAAAATAAAATAGCAGTCAGAATTTAATATAATTTTTTTAAAAATTTAAGTTTTCATATTTTATTAAGGGGGGTGCTAATGGCACCCTCTTTGATGTCAGAATCAGGTCATTTAAGCATTGAGAATGTAAAAAACATGTATTGATTTTGATATGTGTGAGGAAAAAATTCATAAATAAAAATGCATTAAGCAATGCATAGGGATACATTTAGCCCACCCTTTTATTAAAAAAACAACAACATAGCTACGGAAAATGCTATTAACAATCAAACTCATAGAGAATGATTACAAACAGTAATCACACCGTCATCATTTAGATCCTTCCAACAATCTTACGCTACAAGTGTTTGACTCTTTTCTCCTTTATCTAGAAGTATCCAAAAAAATAACATTATTTCATATAAATTAATTATTCCACATATTAAAATCCGAAATAGAATTAAAGAGGGTCGTCTTTTAACATGTTAAATGTAAGATTTTGAATAGGGCTTTCGAAAATTTAGGGCCCAAATTTACATGTGCTTAGTGCCTTTTTATCGATCTGTGTAAAATTATAGCCGGAATTATTTAGGTTCAATCAATTAATTGTTTAGTTTTAGGTTCAAATTATTAATGGTTTATGTTTAGTTTCAGATTGTTAATCGTTTTAGGTCTAAACTATTTTTGTTTTTAACATATATTCTCTGTTATTTCATTTAAGTGTAATCAAAAGTTTTGGATGTAATTGGACATATAAAAAGATTGCAACATCCCTGGAATTGAACATGTAGAATAAATAAATTTAGTGATTACAATTGTAGGTTTTTAACAAAATGACTATGATAATTATATAAAATCTTTTATTTTGACGTATTTGGTTGTAAATATTGTAATCCATAAAGAGCATTTTTAATATAAGGTTCTTATTAACAAAAAGTGTAATAGCTTGTAAAAACTACTATTGTGAAAAGATATTTGTAAAAGCCTCGTGGCCTCTAGATGTTTGAACAAGAACCTTGGCTTATGCCATGAAATTTGTGAGGATTAACATTTTCCTTATTTTTTATTTTATTTTCTTAACTTTATAATTATTAATATAATAATTATTGATGTTGAAAAAATCAATGAGACCCACAAAAAGAAGGTTCTTGCAAGAACTACCATTGTGGGCGTTTAAAATAGTTCTTAATTTGATAAGTTGAAGATGAGTTGGCAACAAAAAGTGTAAATAATCTCCAACTTGTATGCTATAGTTTTCTCTAAAAATTATCACAAGTTAAAATCTCTAAAAAATTACATCTGACTCTAACAGCTACTCTATTTTACCAAATTTTCTATTAACTATATTATTAAAATATGTAGTACATAAAATATTATTTATCTCTTCTAAACACTTACTTGTTAAGTGCTTACCGGATAAATTTTCTCACCGGATGAACATGAGAAGGGTCAAAAATCTTACCGGGTAAGAGCGATGAGAATTATGGAGAGTCTTACCCGGTAAGTGAGGATGATGACTCTTACTCAGGTAAGCGCTTACCTATTAAATTGTTGCATTCTATATGTTTTGATGTACTAAAAAATCGTACACATCAAAATAAATCATAGTGTTGACTCATATTGGTAAGCGCTTATCGGGTAAGCAATTGGGTAAATGACCCTTTAGTTTCAATATATGTTATTGGTAAGAAATGATTAAATGTTATCTCTCTCTTAAATATGGAGTTTTAAAGATTTCTTCAAAATTTAAGATTTTTACCGTTTCTCTTTTCTTTTCTCTATTTTAACATGCACTATAACATAACCCTTGAAACAAAAGTATACTTTAGATTTCCAAAATCTCTATTTTAACATAGTTATGGCAGATTCTTTTAGTATTTATATAGAAGTGCACTTTTGGAAGTTAAAGGACCAAATATATAATTATATAATAGTTGAGGGATGATTTTGTGATTAAGGTAAATTTGATATGATGAGACGGTGAGTATCGGGACGGTGCCATCATGAAAAATTTAAAGCTGTCGGATCTTTTCAACATGGTCCATGTAGAGTGATGGATCCAATTTTTTTTAACAAATAAATATAAAGGTATATTTTTTATAAAATTATTATTGTTTTGTTAATTAGTTTATTGTTTTTTATATACGACTTTTTATGTTCTAGTTTTTTATTGTAATTTTTTATAAACATAATAAATTTGAAATTAAAGTTAAAAATAAGAAAATAATACTAGTGGGGTTCAAATTCGGTCTAACGTGGAAGAAAAGTCTTGCAAATCAACTTTATCAATAAAACTTATGTTTTTATTGTAGTTTTAAAATATATATAGTGACATTGATATTGTGATATTTATCATAATCATATATTTTTTATATTATAAAAAAGAAAGGAAACAGTAACACATGCCACCATATAAACCATATGATCCGTAATTCCGTATAAAAATTAATTAATTACTATATTTATGTATGTGAAATTTGATGATGAGTAAATTACAATTATGGCTCATGGGTTTTGTCGATTGTAATATTTTCGAAATTGCACTTTGGTTATGGCAATTTATACAAATATTCCATATTTGATCTTTACTTTTAAAACCGTTATAAGCTCCTTAAATGAGAGGCGTTTAACACCCTTTTCATTTTCAGTGATTTTTAAAAAATAAAAAAATGTTAATTATATATATATATATGAGTTATTATGTAATCTTTTACATTTGTACAACCAATACAACTCAATCTCAATCATTCATTTAATTTGATAAATATGTGATTTCGTAAGAGTTTTGATTATTTTTGAATATAAAGTATTAATCATAATTAATGAAGCATAGTCATCTTCCATAAATATTCAAATCATAATAAATAAACTCTTATCATTTCCATAAATATCTCAATTGATGGGTTGCATTGGTTATACAAATATGATGAGTTGTATTTGAAACGTACTATATATAGAGGTGAGTTATTATGCAACATTTTGCATTTGTACAAACAATACAACTCAATCTCAATCGTCTATTTAATTTGATGAATATGTTATTTCATAAAAGTTTAGATTGTTTCATAATATAAAGTATTGATTATAATTAATAAACCATAATCATCTTCCATAAATATTCAAATCATAATAAATGAACTCTCATCATTTTCATAAATATCTTAATTGACTAGATTATATTGGTTGTACAAATATAAATAGTTGCATTTGAAATGTCATCTCTCCCTATATATATATATATATATATATATATATAGCCAAGAAAAACATTTTTGGTAACTTGTAAATATGCTATCATATCTTAACTTTAAATATGAAATAACTATATTTGATTTTAAAAATACTATATTATATATAGTTAAATTAAAATACATAATAAAAAATTAATAAGTTGAAGAAGTGAAGGAACAATGTCCTTAAATGTTTTACCCCCACCACCACTACCCTTTGTGTTTCATATAAATAATGAAACATCTGTCTCACCCTTTTCAAAAATTAAATTAAATGCACCTCTTTTACTTTTGAAATTAATAAATCATATTTGGGTCGATATGTAAAAGATGGTCCAATGAGGGACTAATCTTGTCATAACTAAATAAATATACCAAATAAATATAGTAAAAATCAAGAATTTTACCAAGTAAGAGCGATGCAATGATCGAGAGTTTTATCCGATAAGTGAGAACGACGACTCCTACCACGGTTAACGTTTACCGGATAAATTGCTGTATATGATGCCCTTTTTGTTGATTAAAATCTTACCCAGTAAAAAAATGTAAGTTGTTGACGTTTAACCTCCGTAACAAATCACATCATGTAATTAATGACCATGGTTAGAGGGATGATTATGTCAAAAAAAAACTTCATAAGATTCATTTTCAAAACATCAAATTCGGGCAGGATGTC